ACCAAATATTTCAATAATGAAAATATTTACATTTCAAAAGAAAATAGAGGAATTATATCGTATTACCTATATTGTTTATATATTACTTATATCGTATTCTTAAATAAATTACGGTCTATTACTGATATAGTGTAAGGTTCTCCTACTCTGGGTGCCAGCACACCAAGGGATAGAAATTAAGAATACACCCGAAGAAATGTCTTAGAACTTACGACCGAGAAAAATCAAAGATTCTCCTTGATTTACGTAAGACAAATCTTGGGATTTTAACAGGACACTGTCTTCTCGATGAACACCTCTGTAGATTAAAGCTAAAAAACAGCGGCAAATGCAGATTCTGTGAGGAGAATGGGGAAACACCAGAGTACTTCATCACTGAGTGCGGCGAGATGACAACCATTCGTGTCATAAATTTGGTACCACTGATTTCGGAGATGGAGAGCTAACCTCTTTAAAACCGTTTTAGATACTGGCCTTTGTCAATTCCAAAGATATTTAAACTCATGCAGTTTTCAAAAGATATTCAAACCGAGTTTTAATATCTTTGGTCAATGCTCTCAGACTTATTGATGAGTTATAACTTAAGAAAAGGAGGCACAATAGGTCTGTAAGGGCGCGGTTTCTAGATGCACAGATATCCCCATACATTTTACATTCTACACTGGTATAGTATGAAGAAGGTTTAAGTAGTTAGTTAGTTACAGAAGGTTTAGGTATAGGAACACAATATATCCTTGAAAAGCGACTCTATTAGTCTATACAGGGTTGTTCACCACATACGACACGGAGTATTGTAGCTAAACGATTAGATTTTTACAAATTCTAAGTTTTGGGTTCGTTGGAGGACTATTAGAGCTACAATTTAAAAATATTTTTACAAGATACAGAATGGCCCATATAAATAAAAAAATATTAAAGTTGTATTTTTTTTAAACCGAACACCCTGTATATTATTACATTTTTAGTTTCTACGATTAAAATAAAGGTATGTTTGATTAAGGTTTATCACATTTAAAACCTTACCGTTTTTGAAATATTTTCAATTTTGTGAAATTGTAGTAAAAATTTTAAGGCTCCCAGGGGTATCATAGTTTTTAAATAATAATTATATTATTTACTGAAGTTTATTTATTGATCAGTTATTGTGTTGCAATAATAAAAATAATACTACCTCATACAGAGTGTCTAAAAATTTATTTTCAATAATTTCTACCTTTAAACGGCAATAACTTAATTAAACAAGTTAAATAAAACACCCTGCATATTTAGAAGAATCAGATGCACAATTTGACTGTTTATCAAATTGTATTAAATCATTATTTACCTATCCCTTCAAAGTTTTCGTAGAAAATTATTTTCTTATAATTTAGACCTCATTTAGCAATATACCCATAACTACCAAAACTATAATATTACTGGCCCATTTGTATACCAAAAGAAAACTATTTAAATCTTTATGGATATCTTTTAAAAGAATATACCATTAATTAAATATACCACCATTATTTCCGCCCAAATATTAATTAATTACATACTTAATTGTATTAGTTAATAAATTATTCTAAATAAATATGGATTTGAATCAGAAATTAATATAATAATAAGTTATGAAAATGAACGTCTCTGTTGTTATAAATAAGCATTCGTCAAAAAATGAAATACAATTTTTAAGGTGTTACTTTTTACCGCATTGTTTAATACACAGACAAAATTCAGTTTTTTGTTTCAGAAAAACAAGATCGTAACTGGCACTACCAGCTATAATTTGAGAAGCCGGGCGCCGGCGATCTTGTGATCCAATTCAATTCTCGCGATTCTTTTTACGACTCATCGTTCAAATCTTATGGATCCGTGCTGGTCACGATTCAATTGAACGAACCGTATTGTAAGCAATGAATCAATTCTGACGACCCTTTGAATGAACGATCGCATTGTGATCCGATTCAATTCTCAAGACTCTTTTTTACGGCTCATCGTTCAAATCTTATGGATCCGTGCTGGTCACGATTCAATTGAACGAACCGTATTATAAACAATGAATCAATTCTCACGACTCTTTGAACGAACGATCGCATTGTGATCCGATTCAATTCTTACGATTCTTTTTTACGGCTCATCGTTCAAATTTTATGGATCCGTGCCGGTAACGATTCAATTGAATGAACCGTATTCTAAGCAGTGAATCGAATCACACGATTCATTTTTAATACGCGTTCAAATGAACGACTCGTTCAATCTTTGCCCACCTCTATTACCAAATAGATAGAACAGCTAAGATCAGGTGATAAGGATTTGGCAAAATTGGCAAAATGCAAACATAAGGTTTCCCTGACGGACTATACATCGTCTGAACGCAGATTGCTTCATGCAAAACAAAATTTAGTTAAAATAAAATTAAAGTTTAGAATGTTATAGATCCGCCAGAATTGGAACCTGGATGTAGGTCTATGAAGCTTGGTGTAGCTCCGGCACTTAAAATTAATATCTTTACAAAAAAAAAATAAATATAATAAGTCCACTAAAAATAATGAACAAAGTAACACATTTTTATTAATGACACTTTTATGGTTTGATGAAATAGTTTTTAAAATTTAATTTATTTGTTGGCTTAAAAATTTGTAATAAAAAATATTTAAGTTTCTATTTTTAAATTTAATCTGAGTTATTATTATAATCGTCAACTACATACATCTATACAGGGTTATTCACCACATACGACATGTAGTATTGTAGCTAAACGAATAGATTTTTACAAATTGTATTTTTACAAATTGTAAGTTTTGGGTTCGTTGCAAGACTATTAGAGCACTACACTTATTTAAAAATATCTTTACAATATACAGGGTATAGTGATAAATGAGGTCCAAATTATAAGAAAATGCATTTTCTACGAACACTTGAAGAGATCGGTAAAAAATAGTATAATACAATTTGATAGACAATTAAATTGTGCATCTGATTTACGTAAAATATACAGGGTGTTCCATTAAATTAAACAAGTTATTGCCGTTTAAAGCTAGTCATTGTTTAATATAAATTTTTGGACACTCTGTATAAGGTAGCATAATTTTTATTATTGCAACACAAAAACTGATCAATAAATAAACTTCAGTAAATACTTAATCAAATTTACCTTTATTTCGATCGCAAAATCTAAACACAGGATAATATACAAGGTGTTTGGTTTGGTTACAAAAAATACAACTATAATATTTTTGGTTACAAAAAATACAACTATAATATTTTTTGCTTATTTGGGACACTCTCATTCTCATTCTGTATCTTGTAAAATTATTTTTAAATTGTAGTTCTGATGGTCCTTTACACTCAATACTTACAATTCGTAAAAATCTAATCGTTTAGCTACAATACTCCGTGTCGTATGTGGTAAAGAACTCTGTATAATTGTGTGTCAAAAGATGAAATACATAGCGTGATCAATGAGTATTTTATGATAATGCAGGTTTAGATGATAACTGATAGATAATTCTTATGAGAAATAACATTAAAGGTTTCATCATGGTTTCATCACAAAACTTTTAGATTACCTACATATATATTTTTTGAGGGTAATGTTTAAAGAATATCATCCATTATATTAATTTTTAGGTTTTAGATTTTATATAAGTATATAAAGTTAGTTAGTTATATAAGTATTGCATTTATTGATATACACGTATGTAGACAAAATTGGAGACATACATACATATATTTATCAAATTATATTATAAAAATATAATGTAATAATAAACAAACTTTCTAAAGATCTGTACTTTCTGAAGATCCCATACCTACTTGATAATACTACTTCATATTCATATATAGATAAAGATTAGACTCAAATATTATTCCATAGAATTATATTATTCCATATGGTATTGATCAAAGGTTTTTTGGTATAGTCCGACACGTATTATACAATAGATTCTACCTTAAGTGACGTCATAATGTTTTCAATAGTTATTTTTAGGCAAATTAAATCGCGTGCTCTACCTAACGCTTTTTTATAGCCCACCTTTAGATTGCGCCTTTTTAAAGTACAAATTTCCTGTTAGGTATAATAACACTAATGGAACTTTACTAACATCTTTTATAAAAATAATCCTGAACTAATACCATACCTAACAATAATATCTATATACCTAACGTTTCATTTATTAATATCATTACATATTCATTATACCATACCATAAAAAAAACGACGCCAAAGACGGCTGGAGAATGACAATCGATGATAATTTAGGTGAGGTCAAGCCCTAGACGTTATTTACTGGGTCCGTACTTTTCCGTACCTATATATTTTTTAATGGTGCTTACTACCAGTTGATTTTAGGAAGGTTGTAATTTATGTTACAATGAGTAAAAATGATTTTTAAATGGTGTAGATAGTAATTCAAGAAAAAATAAATTTTTAGGAAATAGATTTATATCTGGAAACGTTCTATCCTTTTTTAACCTTTCCATAGTTAGTGTTAATTTTTGAAAAGTTTTGTGTCAATTTATAAAACGACATCTAGAGACTGACGCCAAAATTATCATCGATTGTCACTATACACTCTCCAACCGTTTTTGGAGCCGTTTTCTTTTGATTACACGGTATATCTTCAAAAAAAGTTTATACCTACATCAAAGACCTTATAAAATTAAAATTTATAAGAAGCTTAGGATTAGTTTTTTATTTAATTATTTAATATAAGTTTTAAAACAACGCAGTTGTCGTGTCCTTGTGCCCTTTCAATGACGTTTTATATTACATGAACAATTTCTCATTAAACAATAATATATATTAAGTTTAAGGTATAAATAAAATACTATGTATTCAATTAAATATATATATGTAATTAAAACGATAAATAAATATATATTCTACCAACTCCGAAGTTTTGTAAAGCGTAAATTATAAATATTATATTGCCAAATTAATAAATAGGTTTACATCCGCTACTCGTACTATAGGTACAAACTACCAAACAAATTGAAATATTTAATAGTTTACTTACCAATAGGTTTTTTCTTTTTCTCGGATTCAAACACCGCAACATAATTCGTATTCGCATAAGAGTTTCTTTTATTATTCATCTCTAATCCTATCTTTGGTACTTTTTATAAAATATTATTCTATTTTGACTATAATAATGGAATATAATTATATTATGTTTTAGATATAAAATGAAATATTATCGGTTACGTCTTCAGTCTCTTCCGTTTTCTTGCAAACACAAGATTCGAAGGGTTAATAAAACATTGTGCAGAAAGAACCATAGTCGAACATCGAATTCTGATTTTTACCGGCTCGCAAGAGATCTCGGAAACTTGAAAACGATAAAACAGTACGGCACTAACTATTGAACAATATCGGACAAATATCTATCAACCGTGAAGTTTGACCGAGTGACAACGAGTGTCAGACAGGAATAAAGTTTTCTTTTTGTCAAATATGCACAATGGATTTCTTTAAGTTCTGTAACGAACGCTTAACCCTTTTGCGCGAAACGCAAGCCACGTGAAACCGGATCAACACACGAGAATTCCCTACCAATTGCCGTACAGAAATAAAATAGATTTTTATCCCCACTTTTTTAAGTATCCCATCGACTAAAATGAGCCTACTATGGGGTCGATATTCGGACGGCCGAAATACTGGTAGGTAATTTCATTTTGCGATTCCACACTCAATAATCCGTTTGAAAAGGCTGATTTTTTGTGAAGTGAAACTTCTTGACGTGCAGTGGTAATAAAAATTCAAAGCCGTGACACACATTATGTAACACACGAGCTAAAGAGGCGAAAAGTGGTAACGATCGAATTATTTATTAATTTTTAATTTATTACTTTTTCAACATTTCAAACTACACTTTTTCAAACATGTCCTTCAAATCCTTCATTTTAATAGCTGTTAGTAAGAAGTTTTACTGCAAATATGCGCAGATAGTGCACACAATTTTTTTTCTATGCTTTAAGGTCTATGCTCATTATCATACACGTATCGTTTCTAGCTCGTCGCGTTTCCGTTCCAGCAACTGGTCTGGTTACTCACATATTCATACAGGAAGGGTTTCAGTTTGCTTCTGTAAATTATGTTTTTCCATTTTTCTTGTACAACACTTGTGCAATTCCAGTTCAACTACATTTAAAAGAAATAGGACAAAATTCAGTTAAGAAGATTTACAATATATCCAATGTTAAACAAACTAATACAAGTTCCGACAGGATCCGACCTTACCAGCATCCGACAAAATATTGTTTCCGAGTATACTGAAACGCTACCTGTATCATACGATACGTAACTTACGTAAGTAAAGTAAATTTTAAGTGAACGTCACCTTTTTGCTTCTCTTTTTCTTTCAGGCCTATCCTCTATGGATGTTGGAATGTTGGCAATCATGCTGGTCCATATATAATCCTATTGACAGCCGCCCTGAACAAATGTACGGTCGTCATTCTCGTCTACTGTCTAATATTTTCAGCCATGATATTCGTCGGCGTTCCTGACCTCTTCTACTATCTATTTTGCCCAGCAATATTAGTTGGATAAGTTGGTATTTATCATTACGCATCACATGCCCAAGGTATGCCATTTTTCTCACTTTTACACCATGTATAATTTCTAGTTCCTTTTGCATTCTTTGGATCACGGTATTGTTTGTGACATGGTAAGTGTATGAAATCCTGAGCATCCGGCGATAGCACCACATTTCAAAGGCTTCCGAGCATTTAGATGTTGCATTTGTCAAGGTCCAAGCTTCCACTCCATATAGGAGCGTGGAGAATACGTAGCACCTTAGGACCTGTATTCTTATAGCAATATCCAGGTGCATATTGCATAGGATCTTTCTAAGATGGTTAAAGCTTTTTGCTGCTTGGGCTAATCGGTTCCTGCTTTGTGCACCGCGGTTCTCGGCAATATCATGGTCAATGGCCTACCGACTTGGCGAGTGTCTAAATCGACTCTTACTCATGAGATATCCGATCTCATCTGACCTGGAACCGGACTGAAATGAGCAGTGTATGTGTCAATAGATTTTTACACTCTTGCCATGGAACAACAGCACGACAGAGTTTCCAGAGGGTCACCCGTCCATCCACTAGGGACTTTGGGTCGCGACCGTTGCAAGAATAGCGCCAAATAGTATTTACATTGAAACTAAACTAAACTTGTTTCATTTATCTATGGTAAAAAGATTCACCAGATACGTCAGGATATCAGGTATAACGTAAACGCGAAAATTATTATAAAAGGTAAAATTGACATATTTATAGGTTATTTTCACAGCTAATAAAGATTATAGCCATAGGTAGCCACTGTGAATATGTATTCAAGTTTTAGCCCAACACTATATATTTTGATTTAATAAAGTTTGATTTTAATATGTGTTTTTTTAGTTAATTAGGTATCATTGCAATAAAAAATGTAGTACAAGAATTAGTAGTCCCAGATAGAACTCCTGGTCTATAAGATCTGGTCACAATACTTCCATGTTCTCGAATTTTGGATTTAGCCAACAACACTGTTTTTTTGTTTATCCCTAATGCATTTGCAATGTCCCTTATGGGAACCCCATCCCTTAATCGCGTAAATATAATCGATTTTTGCTCTGAAGTTAAAGGCATTCTTAAAAATTACGTTACACTGACACAAGAATTCTGATGACACTGAGTTATCAGTTTGAAATAAAATATTTTATTATAGACCAGCAGATTATATATTTTGTTGTACTACTTTTTTTTTAAATCAGTGGTATTGTACATCGAGAACTGACTATTTAAGCATTAGACCCCTTAAGAAAGACAGTCATCCTTGTCATTATTTGTATTTGTAATAAAACTAACTTTATGTTATAATTTTATTTTTTATCATCGGTTTATATTTTTCTATTAATTATTCTTATTAATAATTTCTATTAATAATTCATTTTTAACTATATTTTCTATATTTCTCTAATATGCACCCAAAATTGTCAAATTACAGTTGCTTGTTTAACATTTTAAATACTGATTTTCAACTTTTCAAAGTCAAAACTACAAAACTTTTTGAATGTGCTTCTCATATAAGGGACGGCATTCACGGCATCACAGGAAACCATGACATAACCATCAAGGAAAATCTAAGCAGAACAACAATATAATTATTGTTTCCGATAATAAAACAATATACGTTCAAGTGTGACTTTTAATGAAATACTCCCTACTTAAGACATCCACTAACTTGATATGAAGAAAGATTTGATCATATAACACATATAATGAAGAAAAGTTCAAGCGCTATAATACTAATATAACGTTAACAACGGTGAAATTTCATAAAGCCACCCCTACACGATGCTCCCAGCGTTTCGACAATATTATAAATGGCAATTGAGAAGTGTCTCTTATACACGATGTGGGGGCAAATGATCATGCGTCCAACGTTGGAAGGTGTTTGCCACATCGTGTGGGACCGGCTTAAGGAAAATCGCATCCAGATTTCCGCGACAAAAAACATGAAGATATATATTTTTTAACAGTAAAGGGCATTCGTCATTTGAATTAAAATTTTAGTATAATTAGTTTGTTGGATAAAAATGATTAAAACAACAAATATTTTACATATTAATAAACCTAAGCAACTGTATTTATGATTAAACAGATGATACTAGTACCTTATAACAACCGCAAACATATGTAATCTAAAACCAAAGTCTATATTATAGATTTTTCTAATACTAAAATTCTCTAAACAAAAGAATATACCTAGATATTTAAAAAAAACTATGGTTCATACATTTTTTGTTACTACTAGAATAAGTTACAATACTGAGATGCAAAATTCTAACCCCACGAAATAAAATAAATCACTGTATAACTATTAAAGTTAGTATAATTAGAAGTGTAGGTACATCAGCAAAGAAGTTAATTAGCAATAAGTAGGAAGATTGAAAGATAGGTAATTCAGTTGCCTTTTAATATTGTTCTAGCGCATTCGCCATTCTCTAAACGACTGCATTTATATTGTTCGTTCATTTTAAACTTAATATTACATTTTTAAATTAAATTATTAAGGCAGTCTTTTCTTGTTTTCTCAAAATATCAGTTTTATAGAGTGATTCCATTTCAAAGGTTGTGACCAACCGACCAATCTAATTATTTCTTTTAATAACAAATTCTAATAATATAATATGATGAATGTTTTCGACTAAAATCATCACAAACGACATCCAAAAATGACTGAAAATACGATCTGCCCTATATGAATGTGCCAGACTATTTAATGATCTCATTGAGTTAATTACGTATAAGTAAGGTAGGAATATTTTATAACAACATAAAAAATATTTGGTCACACACAAAATTGGTTTATTAAAATTTACAACAAATATGGTGATAAAATTTTGATTGTTTTTTATCTAAAAACCATAAAAGAAAATATATAATACCATACAATCGAAAAAAAAACGGCGTCAGCGATGGCTATGAAATGAAGATCGCTGTCATTTTATATGTAAAATTAGGTACATGGGAAATGTCATCGATCGCCATTTCCAATCCAACTTGACGCTGTTTTTTTTTCGATCATACGGTATTTAAATTTTAATATCTATATTTAAACTAAAAGTACTGTCATCGTTGCAATATAAGTTAAAAAGGGCTAAAACAAAGAATATTATAGAAACGATATGTATAACATATGCCGTATCCCTTTTTAAAGGTTACCTAGTTATTTCAACCTTTTTGAATTACTCCATACAATGAATAGGGCCTTGAATCGTACCTTGTAACAAATTAAGTAGGGAGATACGTATAACGGATTTGTAGTTAATACAATTTTTTTTTGCAGTCATTTGATATACCTACCTACTGTTAATGTCGAAGTTTATTTTGGTATGAGATAAACATAAATTATTGTAGATTAAAGCTAAAAATTATTAATTATGGCGTAATTCGTAAAGCATCACTCCTAAATAATGTCACAAACAAATACAGGATGTAAATAAATAAGTTAAGTTATTTCAGTATTTCCGTATACAATTTTTCGATTTGACATTTCATTACAAATATATCATATGATTGAAAAAAAAAGGCGTCAAGGACGGCTGGGGAATGAAAATCGAGGATAATTTTGGCGAGGTTAAAAAATAAATGGTGTACCTATTTAGTTTAAATCAAGGTTGGAAAAAATCATGATTTTTTTAAAAAAATCAAAACAATATTTAAATCGGATTTTCAAATGACTTGGACTTCTTTCCCATTAAAGTCCTATCCTGAATGGCTATATCTTTATAACCCTACCCGATATCGATAACATTAATAATTCTAGGGTGCGTTTGTCATTTTTCCACATATTTTGTGGACCAATATTTCAAAAAAGCTTTTTAAGTTTCAAAAAAAATATAAAACAACATATTTCCTGACAACGATTATTATAGATTCTCGGGAATGAAGATGTAGTCTCTATATCAGAAGAACCTAGTTCTGCACTAGACTGCGAATGATATGTATTCGAACAGCGAATTTTTGTCACTTATACATATATTTTAAAATAAATCCCTG